AAGTACTTTGTAGGTGTGGTAAGATGGGTTTGCAAGATAATAAAGAGCATGTAAATAAAAACTAGGGGCTGTTTAGATAAATAAACAATCATGTTAGTTTAACGAGTGTGGAAAAGTGGTGGTAGGAGTTGCGGAATTTCCCCTAAGCAATTGACTATGTTACTAAACCGATAACAAGTTTTATGTGGGAGAGGCCACTGCTAGCATGTCATCCCTTACTTGGAATTCTATGCACTTATGATTGGAACTATTAGCAAGCATCCGCAACTACTAACGTTCATTAAGGTAAAACCCAACCATAGCATTAAGATATATTGGTCCCCCTTCAATCCCGTATGCAGCAATTTCTGTGCTAGGTTGAAGCTGCTATCACCCTTGCCCTCCAATACATAGTCCTATCAACATACAACTAACCCTATGGTGTGATCCACACGCGTGCTCATATGATGGGCACCAAAGGATAGCAACATAACCACAAGTAAGTTAAACCAACCATAGCAATTCACCAATCACCGATAGGACAACAAAAATCTACTCAGACGTCATAGGATGGTAACACATCATTGGATAATAGTATGAAGCATAAAGCATCATGTTCAAGTAGAGGGTACAATGGATTGCGGGGGAGTGGACCGCTGAATATAGATGGGGGAAGGTGATGAAGATGTTGAGGAAGATGATGGAGGTGTTGGTGTAGATCGCCGTCACACAATGATTGCCCCGGCGGTGTTCCGGTGCCACTGGGAGAGAGGGAGAGAGAGCCCCACTCCTTCTTGTTCCTTGACCTCCCCCCTACCATGGCGGTGGAGGGGCGGGAGCCCCTCCGAGATTGGATCTTTCTCTGTTTCCTTCTGTTTCTGCATTCCAGATTTTGACCTCTCACTGTTTCTTAAATTCCCGGAGATTCATAACTCCGATTGGGCTGAAATTTTAACACGATTTTTATCCGGATATTAGCTTTATTGCGGCGAAAGAAGGGAACCAACCACCTTACGGGGTGGACACAAGCCTCCCAGCCGCGCCCAGGGTAGGGGGCATGCCCCTAGGGCTTGTGGGCTCATCGGTCATTGTCTCGCGTTGATTCTTTTTTCCAAAAAATCACATATATTCCAAAAAAATCTCCGTAAGTTTTTAACTCAGCACCACCATAGTCCAATTCCCTCTAGTTCATACTTGTAATTGTGCATCACACAAGGCAGCCATTGTATGACATATTTGCAAGCAATCAATCTTCAAGATGTGTCCTTCAATCTTTTCTTCTTGTGATCTGATCTCCATGTGTAAGTAGTTCAATAAGGTATGGGTTGAGGCATAGGCCTTGCAACCCTCCATATTTGTTGTGGGGATCAATGTAAGGGCTTTGAATTAACATCCGGTATGTGTGAAATAAAATTGTTCCATCGATGTCTCTTGTCTTGTCGGGGATTTGCATCCATGCAGGTACCCAGGATCATGGAGATCGAGTAATGGTGAGGCTAAGTGCAGGGAGAACGTGAAGATTTATTCTGAACACTAGTGATAGAAGGGTTTAGTGTGGTAGCACGGATCCAATCCTTGGGGATTGATGGGGTGTAGTCATTAAACGCTCAAAGCTCTTGTTTGGTATTTATTATCTTAATTATTGAGGCAACCCCGCACAACAAATAGGGCCTGTGGTAGGACAACTAATTCTTGATGCAGGACTCATGTCGGTCAAGATGTTATTTGGACACACCCCCCACTTCTATTCATAACAAGCACATCTCGATGGGTGACTTCCATCGCACAAATTAATATCATATCTGGTCCCAACACAAATACATGGTTGCAAGCATTAAGACCTCATACCTGTACCTCTTTTTATTATAAGTATTTGAATCACCATTTGCTTGATTGATTCAGTCAAAAGCTGGAATTGATCCTTTAACAAAAGCTTTCTAGAGACCATCGCTTCAAGGGAATCTTCCTCTTGTGTGTTCGATAACCCACGGTACCTCTGGGGAAATAGGTGTGGTATACTTTCCTGTTCCTTTACCGGATCAGTGAAAGGAGGTACCACATATCCTTCCAACCTATGCATGATGTGAGGTTGGGGTTCGATATCTAGTGGTTCGTTGGTCCATGGCCTTTCCTACAGAGGATAGTATCGTCGTGCTTTAGCGAGCCCTTGTAGTCCGCTATGGCTCTGGGGCATTTTTGAACGTCATTGTACTATGAAAACCAATATACGATCAAGCCTGTGTGGGTCTCACCACAAAAATGTCGAACAAAATCTCTGTCATGTATTTGTTCTGAGCTCAATTGGCACGCTTAATACTTTGTTTTTTTCAAGTGGCTTCCTAATCAATCGGTGATTCCATTAATCTTTGGAAAGCATTCTTGCAATTTCAGTTTGGATGCTATACTTGATGAGGCTTTATGTTGGATCCTTCAAGCCTTACTAATTTAGCTTATTCAACTATCAATCTTCTTAATTGTGGATCTAAACTTCATCTCCATCTTCAGGATGGCCCCCACTACTCGTGGTAATCCGAGTCGAGACGGTGAGGATCCAAATCCTCGTCCGCCACCTCCGCCTCCGGAGGCATGGCAAGCTTTGATGGCGGATACAAATGCAAATACTAAAATGCTCCTCCAGTTGAAGCAAGAAGGAACCAAGGAAATCAAGGTCAAGGAACTTCTACAATCAGCCCCAATTTGCAACGTTGAACTAGTTTCTAAGCAATCAGCCCAAGACTTTCAGTTCTTGCCTAGAGCCTATGGACGCAGAAGATTGGCTCGCGGCATGAAGAAGCATTTTGATAGCAGTAATTTCAGGCCACGTGACTTCATCAGGTTTGCTACCTTCAACCTCAAGGATCAAGCTGCGGATTGGTGGAAACCATGCAAAGATTCCAGAGAGGGCCAGGTGATTACTTGGACGTGTTCTGCAAACACTTCAGATCACACTATATTCCCACAAGTGCAGTGGAGGGCATGTGCGAGAAGTTCAGGAATCTCAAGCAAGGCACGTTGGTTGTCTATCAGTATAACTCGGAGTTCCAGAGGCTTGCCCACTACGCCAAGCAAGATGTTCCAAATGATGAAAGCAAGATTTATCAGTTCAGGAATGGTCTCAGGGATGATCTGCAAGTTCCCCTTACGCTCTACACCCCGACTGAGTTCTCAATGTTCTACAACTTGGCTCTTAAGCAAGACACATCTAAGAGCAAGATGGAAGCTTCAAGGAAGAGGTTCAGGGACTCCACCCCACCTTCTTCGTCCTCTTAGGTTTTTCACAAACAGAAAAAAATTTGGGTTCCAACTCCTCCTCCATTTCGTCCTCAACAACACAAGCAACTCAAAGATTGTGGTCCTTCCCACCCTCCCAAGACCAGCTTATCAGGAGAGGCCACGGGCTTTGGGGACAAGAGATCTTCCTCACTCTCGTCCGCTCTCAGATGTGACTTGCCACAAGTGTGGGCAGAAAGGGCCCTATGCAGCTAAGTGTACCAACCAGAGGCGCCTTCCACCTCCGCCACTTCTCAGGTCTCCACGCAATGCGATGGTGAGGCATGTCTTAAAAAAATGTTAAAAAAATTACCAATTTTTTTAAAAATGTCGGTGTCTTAAAAAGTGTTTAAATTTTTTTAAAAATCTTCATGCCTTTTATATTACATTCTTTTTTTTTTGAAGAATGCTCACATCTCAAAATTATGTTCACATTTAAAGAAAGATCAAACTTCAAGAACATTCTATACATTTCGAGAACATTTTCTAAAATTAATGAAAATTTATTAAATTCACATACTTATTAAAATTATATCCAAAAAATTCTTAACATTTAAAAAATTGATTTATCAAGATTTTCAAAAATTCAATCAGTAAAGGGAACCCAATATATGTTTTTTTGGATAGAAACCGACCGAGAAAACCTATAGAAACCGGCCCGATAAAACAAAATACTCCATCTGATAAAAAACACTCTTTATTGGGTTGAAAAGGATGCCTTTTTTGTTTAGATAAACAACATTCTTTATCAAAGTAGTGATGTTCTTTTTTATAATTTATACAACTAGTGATGTGTCTTTTTAGTTTATTCAAGTAGCGATCTTCAAAGGGAATACAAAGGTACATTTCGTCCAAAATCTAACGTGGTGGTGGCTGGACAGTAGTGATCGGTCGGTCACCAGCGGATGACTGGGCCTGTGCGTTTCCCTGGCAATTTGACGCCGTTAGCGTCGTATAGGGATTTTCGGTTTTCCAGTCCCAGTGCCAGTACCAGTATATAACAAAAAAAGAAAAGAGTGCCAGTACAGGTGCGCCTCGTCTCCTCCCGTTTCCGTCCGCCGCCATTGGCCGGAATCTCTCCCCCGCTGCCGTCCTTCCACCCATCCTCCCCCAGGCGATCTTTGCGTCTCCGACCCAATCCCTCCCTCCCGCCCTCCCGCAAGTTTCCCTCCTCGTGCCTCGAGCGGCTGGACGGTTTGCGCGCATCGGCGAGGCCGGCACGCCGGCGACCAGCAGTGGAGGAGCAGAGCAGGAGAGGGAAGGAGTAAGTCAGCACAGAGGCAATCTCTGCCAGAGCCCGTGCGCATTAGGTACGTTGTTAGCGGTTTCTGTCAGGTGCAAAAATATGGGTTGAGTCAAGTTTCAGATTAGAATCTCTTGCCAGAATGTTGGAATGATTGTATGGGATTGGAATTGCACGTACGTTATTGATTTTGAAGCCCTTCCTTGGTGCTGATACATTTTGCCTCCTTCCCCGTAATTGAGATTATAATGCTAGATCAGTATACAACAATAGTATGCATATTGCAGTCTCATGTATCTGAACAGATACAATGTTGAGCAGCAGGGTAAATGTTGATACAGTCAAACAGTATCAGTGCCATAGTTGTATCAACTACCGGTGTACAATCTTCTAATGTTGAAACAGTATCAGTACTTTTCTTGATTGTGAAGACACTATCACCACTATCACCGGAGACCAGACATAACCCCCTCATTCTGCCTTTCATCAGTTCCCCGTGTGCTAGTAGATGGCATCTTCTACTCTGAAACCAGGTGTGCCTGTCACTCTGCAAGAGCAAGCGCTCTCCTCGGATATGTTCAAGCAAGGGGCGTCCCTCCGGGTAATAGGAATGTATGTCTGCCTGTTACTTTGCTTTCTCCTCAAAACTACAAGTTTTAACCGTGCTAGCCTTCTTGTCTTGCAATTCTCCAGCCTTCAGTCATACGATCTGGACTCTGCAGTTGCTGTCACCCGAGATGGCAGCGCGACGATGAAGATCGACACCCAGCACCTGCGGGACATCAGTTTCCGCAATGGTTCTACGTTCCAGTTCATCGGCGACCTCCTGATTCGGCCGAACGTCGACGTAACTCTCTCTCCTTCTCCAGCTTCTGTCAATGAATTATATGTCTGGTATCATTGAAATAACAATGCTGCATCGAATATGTTGCTTATGTCCATCCTGCAGGCGATACTGCAAGCCCGAGTGGGCAGGAATGTTGATGGCCTTGACCTGAACCTTTACCAGCAGTCTCTGATCGTCCGACGGCAGCATGAGGCCAGATTGCTGAGCTCCAGGAGCACGTAATCCAAGGCTCATGGCCTCAGTTCAGTTCTAGTGAAGTATGGAGGACATGAGGACAGAATCACCTAACCCGTGATGATCCTGTGCTTCGGTTTGTTAGATGGGTGCAAACCTACAGAGTAGTACTAGTAGCTGAATTTCCTGAATACAGATTATTCCTCTAGGACCGCCTCATCCTCAAGGCCTTTTAAGCTATCACAATTCCACGAACTCATATTGTTTGAGGGCTCGGTTCACATATCTCTTTCACGTTGTTTTGTGGGCTAGCATTTCCTTGCAGCAGAGTTTTTGCCTCGCCAAACGTAGCTGCAGAGTGATATCCTATCATTGTGAACAATTTGAAAATTGACTTGCTATGTATATTTGCTAATTTGATGAAAAAAATTGCATAGTGGTTCTCGAGTTCATCGTCTTGTGTCTTATGTCAACTTCTGATCTGCCACCCTGTACAAAACAAACAAAAGAGAATGAGTAAAGAAATGAACTTGGAGTGTTCTCCCTGTATGACTATGAGATCGCCTTTTTTTACACCTTGTTATAATAAATGTTCCACAATTTGGAACTTATTAAAGGTGCTCAAATTGTGCTGCCGCTGTCATTTCTTCTTAGGACAAATGAAACCGTCGCTTTCCCTTTGTTGTTTTTACCCAAACATCAGATGAGATATTTCCTTTCCTGCCAGGGGGTCAAATTTGGTTGAGTTTTTCTTCCAATTTGAGATGTTGGTATATGCTCTAATCAGGGACTTGCTATAAGTCGACATGTGCATGAGCAGATTAGCTACACTACACTGCATCACATGCAACCATAGACAGCTTAGCTTCTACTTCCTCCGTTCCTAAATATTTGTCTTTTTAGAGATTTCAAATGGACTACCACATACGGATGTATGTAGACATACTTTAGAGTGTAGATTCACTCATTTTGCTTCGTATGTAGTCACTTGTTGAAATCTCTAAAAAGACAAATATTTAGAAACGGAGGGAGTACACATCTCCCCAGTCCCCAGTGCCACTCATTTGTTAAAATGAAGTCCCCACTCACCAAAACACTTCTCAATCTAGACTTGTCTTCTCTTTTACTGAATGAGTGGACGAATTGCCCCAGTCTGTTTAGTTTACTAATATACTTTGTAGATAACTGACAGAAGCTAAAGAGCTTGATTCAGTTTAATTGCCAGAGATAAAGTGTTTGTCATTTTAGATATAACTAATTAAATTTTGTCTTGTCAACTCTAATTTTCTTTTTTATTGTTCACAAAACAGGGAGACATAGATATCAGCCATCCTTGATAGCAGAGTATGACCTTGGAGGAGGAGGTTCATAATTTGTTTCTGGGATCAATTTGTAGCTGACTAAATGTTCCTGGGCTCGAAACTCTAGAATGTTGTTAATTCTGTACAGCTTCTTGTTCCTGAGGTCATTTCTGAGATTCGTTTTTATTTTATATCCGAGATCATTTATCAGTATAGATTTTAAGCAATTTTTGCCCAAACATGCGTACCAAAGGAGAAACAGAATAATCACTAATTAGCTTGCCTACTTGGTAAATCCCATGGAGATCCTGACAAAACTGGAAGAATAATCGCTAATTAGCGTGGGATGGAGAACACATCAACTTGATGTTAAAGAAAAAACAAGCTGCGTGCAGAGCAGAGCAGTTTAACTGAATCTTGTTTTCTAGTTTGAGCAGAGCAGGTTATTCTACTGTGGAGCGTTGACGCTGGAAGCTACTACTGTGGACTTGTGGAGTGTGAGCAGATGAGGTTATTCTACTGTGGAGCAGTAGAATAAACAGGACCGAAGTGGAAGAGGACAGACTTGCAGAAGAAGATGATGGACCGGACCCACTGTCACCGTGTGAGTGGGAACGGATCCTCTAACATCACGAAGGGATGTCATGAACCTACAGTGCAATCCTAGTGCAAAACGAAGAAGGGATGTCACGGGCACTCTAGCAAAGATAATGTGCTCAATTACTGTTCATAGAAAATAAAATCCAAAATTAATTTTATTGCACCATAATTTTGTTTGTACGTAATTTTTGTAAATGTATACAGTAGATTTGTAATTTGCAAATTAATTCAAATCATTTTAGGCTTAATCATATGGATGTGAAGAAGGGATGTCAGGGTACTGTAGCTTCCCTAACATCCTTTCGTGATGTGATGTTAGAGGATCTCGTTCCCGTGTGAGTGTGTGCGTTTGGCCAGTGGGCCGTAGCTAGCGAGAGGTTAGGTGAGTTGCGCGACGCGCTGTTGTACGCAGACTGAAAAGAGATTTCTGATTTGATCTCATCCCCTCTGCATCTCACCTACTCCCTCCTTCTACCTCTTTCCCTCGTCCCCATCTCTGATCTCCCTCCTGTACGTACCATCTCTGGATTCGAGGTTGTTACACTATTGCCGGCTGGGGTCGTGTCGTCGTCGTCTTCTTCTTCCTCAGCTCAGGCCGCCGTGATCCAGACCAGATCTGAATCCCTGCTCACCGGCCGGTCGGCTCTGCATCTTGCTTGGTATGTATGTATGTACATGCATGTGTGTCTTCTTTTCCTCTTAAGCTAGTAGTGACTTGGTGTTACCTACCTCCATCCTTGGTTCTTTCGAGGTTCTCGATTTCTTGTTGCTTGAAAATACAAAAAGAATCTGGTGGGTAAATATTAGAGCCATGTCAGCAAGTCATGTCATTTTTCTTATTTGAAGGGTGCTGCACCGTGCTAGACACATAATCACAGATGGACGACGAACTAAAAGCTCTGGAGCACATGCTGCTTGATCAAAGTGCAGAGCCGATGATGCTGTCATTTTCGACTTTACAAGACATCACAAACCGTTTCTCCGAGGATCGGCAAATCGGCAGGGGTGGATTCTCGGTCGTTTACAAGGTACGTACGTACAACCCAAGGCCATCGTAATTAGTTTTCTCAAACCTAATCAAGCTGGTCTAACAAGTAAACAACACATGCACACTACAACCCCGTCAATACATCATCACCTCCACTGCTAATGCTCATAAAGCATGTTGAGGCTGCAGGGGATGGTCGCTGTGAAGAAGCTGACCCCCTACATACAAGAGAGGAAATTCAGCAAGGAACTTGAATGCTTGGTGACGGCCAAGCACAAGAATGTAGTGCGCATTCTGGGATTCTGTTCCGATACACAAAAAACAGTCGACTATCTTGAGGGCAAGTTTGTCATGCCAGAAATAAAGGAACTGGTTGCTGTGTTTTGAGTATGTACCAAATGGGAGTCTTCGTGGGCACATTAAAGGTGGAGTCATGATCATAATGCTTATTTCCATCCTTATGCTCTTTATTAAAGGCTACTCGCACACAAGCAATACAACTATTTAAAATGCTTTGCTTTATCCCGGTTTCATAGTTTTATATAAATTACGAAAATCTCCCTAAAAAAAGGTACCAAAATCTGAAATGCCCTTTCTCTACAGATGCATCTAGTGGACTGGAATGGAAGACACGCTATCAGATTATAAAGGGAATATGTGAGGGCTTGTGTTATCTTCACAAAAAGCGTATTCTTCATTTGGATCTTAAGCCTGATAATATACTGATGAATGATCAAATGGTACCTAAAATTACTGATTTTGGTCTCTCGAGGTGCCTCGATGAAGAGCAAAAGGAGGCTACTGTTACATGCATAATTGGATCAATGTAAGCCATCCTTAAGAAATATTCTTTCATTTTGTTCGGCATGGGTTTTGTATTTCATTTGCGGATGAGTAAAAAGTATCCACGATCCTTAAAATTGTGCGATCGCTTTGGTTACTGAACTCCAAAAGATACTATCTGGATCTCGTCCGAAAGGTGTTTCATTGGCTAATCTAGCACACATGGACATTGAGGATGGTTTAGGAAGACGGATAATCAGCTTTGGCGTTCAAGAACCAATGTGACGACCACACCGTACGATAGTGGACGATGAATTTTACTCTTTGCATATTCATTGATCAGTTTTTATTAATCTTCTTGTAGGGGATATATGGCACCTGAATACTACAATGGAAAAGTCACACATGCGTCAGACATATATAGTCTTGGCGTTGTAATTGTGGAGATACTGATGGGAGAAAGGTGTTTTCCAGAAGAGGAAACTGTGAGAATGATTTAAGCATTTGCTTCGTTCCAAAATAGATGATCCAACTTATACTAACTTTGTACTAAAGTTAGTACAAAGTTGGGTCATCTATTTTAGAACGGAGGGAGTAAAATTTAAGGACTCTGCTAGTTGAGGAACGGTCGCCAGAAAGGATGGCATCTGCGAGCGTTTTCCTGGCAGTATTAGTTGTAGGGGATGTCATTTTATTCAGAACAGCATGCCAGTTTTTGGCATGGAAGACAGTTTTTTCAACTGCCAGCCACATTGTTTGGACTGAATGGCTGTACGGGCGTTCGTTGGGCCCTCTCCCCCAAGCGAATGTTCGCCAGTTGACATTTCCCAATTTTAATTATGTTACACTTTATAACGAGCATTCCTTTTTCTAGTCTTTGCACGTGTACACCTTTAGGAGTACTGAGTACTGACACCTTCTCATATCCTGAGTACTGAATACTGACACCTCATTACTTGTCGCTTAAATGGATGTATCTAGCACACTAATTCGGGATGGAGGGAGTATGAATTAAATGAATCTATTGTATCTCCTTTTATTACCATTACTACAGTCTAATAACAATTTCGAGCATACCACACCACACATATTAATATAATATTAATGAACATCTCATTTTTTAGGTATATAACACTTTTCATATAAAAATCAACATGTATGCAAATTGTATGCTAACATGTATGGGCTGAAATGAATATTCCGCGGCTACCACTTTGGAGTACATAATTTAATAAACTTCCACTCTTCATATTCTTTAGAATACATCCGTATTTGCTAGTACTTTTATGTGTTAGAAAATACTCCCTCCGTTCGGAATTATTTGTCACAAAAATGGATAAAAATGGATGTATTTACAACTAAAATACATCTAGATA